AGTAGCATAAGTGATTGTGTGAAAACAAGCCTTGATGTCATGTACAATAAGTCCAACTGCTAACATATTGGTAGAGTTGTCAAGAATCGTATTCACGATCTGGAGCGAATCAGCCTAAAAAAGAACATCAATAAGACCCCTTCCAATCGCCAAGAACATGCCTTCATGAAATGCCTCAGCTCGTCCCGAATTATAATTCTCACTCCCCCTAGCTTCTTTCTTTAGCCCAAGCCCCATCTGTTGGAAATGTGCCCTAAAACCAATCATATGATGATACTTTACGGACATTTCACATGTTAAACTAATGTAGTTTAAATATAAAGGGCAAAGATTATTGTTTGAGCCGTCTCATATAAATGTTATATGCTTAAACGATAAATCCAAGGAATATTTGATTGGGAGAATGCAATCTAAAGAAGTTAGATTCATGAGACCATTCTTTCGTAGACACATCCTAAACGTTCCTGATCATAGAATTGCCAATTGGGCATTGACAGTCCGTTAAGATCAGTACGTGCTGTGTCTTCTCTCATGGAGAGTGACTAGTCTCGAGTCATTGGTGTGTGTGACATCAAGACAAGTACGTAGGTGCTCAATAGAGAATGAGTTCACTAAACACGATCAACGAAGAGTTCTCATGTTCATGTCACATGAGAACTCAAGGTTGGGATAATGCAAAGTAGTCCTTTGACCTGAGGCATCACAGTTGTCTTGTGGTTAAGTCATTGATCTTTGATTATGTCAAAGTCACCCCATCCGCGGGTGTCCACAGCATCGTTGGGGTTAAGCCACTTAGCCATGGAGACAATTGAATGCGCAACAAGGGATCTCTAACCTTCAAACCGTTTGGGGGAGAATACTCTATGATATGATTGAAAATCTCTGATCAGAGTATGAATGAGATTTAGGAAGGCGTTCCAAATCACATTCAAGGTAATCATATAAGTAAACGAATCACATTGGATAGTAGACATGAATAAACTATCAAACCAAACAATGTGGTCAAGAGTATTGAATTAGAGAAAGACCGTATTGCATTTGTAATCCTAAACTGAATAGGTTCTCCACCTCTTCTGATTAGCTTGGGTAACCATGATATGCTGCTAGGTGTCACTCATAGTTTGTGGAAGCCCTAAACGTGTATAATCACTAAAGGGAGAATTGAAAGTAAGTTTCAATTCACAATTGATTTGAAATGGTTTTAATCGCCCACTGCCTCGCTAAAAGGAACCTAATGGATCGTACACCGTGTAAGGTGGAGATTGAAGAAACAATGGAGATGAGTAAGAATAATTAAATGGTTTAATTATTTATGGCAAGGATTAATTAATATGTTAATTAATCAAACGAATAAGTTCGTAAAAGGCCACGGGTTAGTTTTGGGCCTCAAGGCCCAATGGGCTTCGAACGTCAAGCCCATTGACTTAAGTTGTATGACAACTTAATTCACAAAGGCCCAAAAGCCCAATAAAACCCTTATGGCCGGCCATGTTAGAGAGAATGACTTTTTTGGTTCTTTAGGTCACTTATTTGAAGGGACTATATAAAGGACTTTATAGCCTAAATTCATAAAAGGGTTCTTTTGGAGAAAATTGGAGAGAACATGTCTCTCCTTTTCTCTCTAGGAGGCCGGCCCCCTTGGAGGGATTAGCTAGCAATCCAACTCCTCCAAGGTCACTCATTTCTTCCCCAATCTAACCTTGGTGTAGAGACTTAGAGGTTCTCTATTTTGGGAACTTGGAGAATCTATTCTTCCATCCAAATCCATAGATCTAAGATGCAAGGAATGAAGGCCCTCTCTTTGGGTGATTAGCCTTTGCTTATGCAAAGAGGAATCTACAAAGGTATAAATCTCAACTCACTTTGTTTTGAGTTGATTCTTGGTTCACCAATCTACTAGGCTTTGAGTTTCATAGGTAATGTTTTGTTTTTGAGTGCATGCTAGCATGATTCCGCCTTTAATTGTTAATTGCATGCTTATAGATGTTGCTCAAATGAACATGTTTTTACAAAATATTCCTTCACCATCAACGTTGATCTTTATATAACCGAACCTAGGCTTGGACCACCGAGTAATCAAAGGGGTCAAAGATAGAGGAGAAGGAGCCAGCCAGGTAGAAGTAATAAAATCATGCTAATGACTTAAAGAACGCAATAAAATCATGCTAATAACTTAAAGAACGAGCCGCCACAAGGTCCGACCTCTCTGACTTACTGTTCCAAATGAGAGAATTTCTGGCATTCCATAAAGACCACCAAATCATGATAACAATATCAAAGTTCTCATGAGATAGAGAACTAGCCAGAAAAAGACCCTAATCTCCAATTGAAGTAACACCCAATCCAGTAGGTGGAGGACCCAACGAAGTAGAGATCCAAGTGCAAATAGAGAAGGGCAATCTCGCATTAGGTGAAGAGAAGATTCCTTGCAACTAAGGCAAAACACATAGGCCAAAGAGGATCCAATGTGACGACGAAAAATATTTGCACGAAGTGGAATAATATCCTTGCAAATACACCAAGCCACCACCTTAACTTTAGAAAGGACACGAGCATTCCACATTCAGATTCTTTTCCACAGCACACCAAGGCTGCATCCAGAATGAGATGACAAGTCATAGTCACCAGTTCTTAAAACCCAACATGCGGCAAGGTCATATGCACTTTTAACCATGAAAATGCCCTTGGAGTTGTAATGCCAAAGTAACTTATCCCCAGGCCTGCAAAAGCTAAGAGGAAGGCAGAGAATTGCATTGGCTTCCAAGCCAGAGAATAAGGAGCAAATCAGAGATGCCTTCATTGATGATTGTTGATCAGCTGGGTAACCTGCGACAAAGGGTAATCCGAGGGGCGAGGGGAGAAAATCATCAATTTGGAAGGCAGAGGGTCCTAGTGATCCTTCCAAATATCAACATTATCACCGGTTCCAATTTTCCAACGAAAGCCCAACTCAATGATGGGGCGAGTCGAGTACAAATTTCGCCAACAAAATGACGCATTCATTCCCACATATGCCACCAAAAACGAAGAGTTTTCGTATTTGGCCTTCAATACACGGGCAACCAAAGAGGAATGGTCGTGAATGAGCCTCCAACCTTACTTTGCCAAAAGACTAAGGTTGAAAGCATAGAGGCTCCTGAAACCCAAGCCATCCTAACTTTTCGAAGCACAAAGCCGATCCCAACAAATCCAATGAATCTTTCGAGAGTCATCTACACCATTCCACCAAAATTTGGCCATATTTTGTTGAGATAATCACAAAACATTAGGTAGAATGAAGCAATTCATGGTGTAAAGGTGAATGGCTTGAGCAACAACTTTGATCAACAGTTCACGACCCACCGCACTTAAGAGTTTCCCTTTCTAACTCCGGAGACGTTTCCATAAGCGTTCCTTGATATGGCCGAAGCAAGCATCTAGGTTTTTTCCTGCCAAAGTTGGGAGGCCCAAGTACTTCACATGCCTATCGACACGGTCAATACCGAGTAAACCTGCCAAACAATCTTGTTCTCCCCAAGTAATGTTTCGACTAAAGCAAACAACACTCTTAGATAACCCGTTGACCCAAGGCCCCCCGCATAGTAGTTCAGAATTGATTTAATCTCAATGCAATCTTCCTCAGTGGCACGGCCGAATAAAAGGCAATCGTCCACGAAAATGAGGTGATGGATTAGTGGCATGCCATGGAAAATGGATATCCCCTGAATTGCGCAGTCATTGTACCTTGGTCAATGAGGGCTGAAAATCCTTCAACACAGAGAAAAAACAAATAGGAGAGAAGGGGTCTTCCTGTCGGAGCCCACGAGAAGGGTGAATGTAAACGCAAGGAGAACCATTCACAATGATAGAATAGGTGACCGTGGAAACACATTGCATAAGAAGATTCACCCAACGACCGAAGAAACCCAGTTTCGTAAGCACCATACGCAAGTAGCCCCATTCAATGCGATCATACGCTTTGTTCATGTCGAGTTTAATTGTCATTTGCTCCTTCTTCCCCCTTTTTCGTTAGAACAGAGATTGGGCAACCTACGTAGCAAGGGTATTGTCTGAAATTAGGCGATCAGAAATAAAATACTTTGGTTTAGGGAGATGATACTCGGCATAGTGACCTTCATGCAATTAACCAACATCTTTGAGGCAATTTTGTAAAGAACATTGCATAACTTATAGGATGGAGTTTGGACATCTCAAAAGGCCGAAACTGTTTGGGAATCAAAGTGATATGGGTAAAATTAATCTTGCAAAGGATTCGACCAGATTCCAAAAAGTAGATGATAGCATTGGAAACATCGTCACCGACAATCGCCCAATATTTCTAGAAGAACAGAGGGGCATGCCATCCGGCCCCGGAGAAGTGGACGGTTACATCTGAAAGAGGGCATCCTTCACCTCCTCAATGGTGAAGGGGATGTTGAGCTCTCTGTTATCTCATTAGAGATTTTACAATCAATAGCATCTGTGATGACCTTAGAGTTCCCAGTTAACACTATACTAATATTCTCTAGCTAACACTATACTAATCTATACAAATTAGTATTTTACTTAATCGTCACTAAGTAACATTGTACTAATCTTCTCTGTATCGTTACAATCCTCTAATAAATCCTAAAATAAAATAAAAAATTTATGATTGGTTAAAATACAAAGTTGCATACAATCCTTTGGGTGCAAATTACCACATTGTGGAAAAAAAGAAAAAAAAAACTCAAAAGTGAAAGTGGAAGGGGAGACAAGAGCCCGAGGGTCACGAACGCAACGACAAACTAAATATACTGATTAGGGGGGGCAATTTGGTCATTGAAATGGAGATTTTACGGTACAACTACAGGCACAGATCTAAGGTAAGCAAGGGCAAAGTTGTAATATCAGCCAACATTAATGATTAAAGGACATCTCAGCAATCCCAATCGTTATATAAAGAGGAAAGCAAAGCACCACTTTGAGGACTCAGCCTTAAGAAGTCTCACCGGATTCAAAACCCTCCCTTCAAATTTCAGCAACCATGGCAATGGCTTTCAAGATGGTAACTTTCTCAATTCCTTTATGTCATTCAATCGATTCGTGCGCTTGCGAGCAATTTTTTGTCTTTATTTTCATATTTATGTATATGTTTATGTTTATACTTAGTTGAATTTGACGATGATAGGCTACAACTGGGATGTGGGTGACTGATGAATGCAAGAACTCATTCATGGAGATGAAATGGAAGAAAGTTCACAGGTACATAGTTTTCAAAATTGATGAGGGATCGAGGCTGGTGACCGTTGACAAAGTTGGTGGGCCAGCGGAAAACTACGATGATCTGGCGGCCTCCTTGCCCAAAGATGATTGCAGATATGCAGTCTTTGATTTTGATTTTGTCACTGTTGATAACTGCAGGAAGAGCAAACTCTTCTTCATTGCTTGGTCAGTAATTAATCACTTCCCTTCTTCTAATTTCTTTACTTTTCCATGTCTGATTAAGAATTAAGATTAAGTGGTTGGTAATTAATCATGCTAATCATGGGAATTCTGTATTAATTGGGGGGGGGGGGGGGGGGGGGGGGGGGCATGTTTTGGGTAAGTTGGAATATTTGTGACCAGTTTGGAATACCCGATTTGGTGCATCTTCATCCATCATGGTCAATTGGTACATGGTTTTCTTTTTCGATGGTTTTTCCCACGCCTAATTTTGGTTTCGTATAAAATATCATCTGCTCACTTGTCACATCAAAAGAACAATTTTTGCACGTAACTAATTGGTAAAGGACATTCAATCTTTACCGGATGTCTCAGTTCAAATATCTCGGCCGACAGTTGTTGAAAAAAAATAAAAATAAAAATAAAACTCTTACCATGTTTTTGAAGGGTAGTGATTGTCACGCCGGTTTTCTTGTCTGCACTCCTTCCTTTGTTTATGTTTTTTTTATTGTCATTTGATTCATTCAATCTAAAAGGTGAAAAAAACACGGGAAGGTCCGTGTGACAAAACGAGAGTGTGGAAATCACTTCTCGAGCATCACTTCCCCATTTCATACGTATATTTAGGAGCATCTTGTGTGGTAAGTATATTTGAAGGTGATGTGAAATTGGGTTGATGCAGGTCACCAAGTGAATCAAGGATTAGGGCAAAAATACTATATGCAACCTCCAAAGCTGGGCTGAGGAGAGTTTTAGATGGCATCAGCTATGAACTTCAGGCGACCGATCCGACCGAGATGGGGATGGATGTGATCAAGGACAGGGCTAAATAAGTGTGATTAGAGCAGCTTAATCATGTTCTGGAATCTTACTTTAAATTAATAACTCCAGCCACATGGGTTTTCTTTCTTGTTTCTTCTTGGTGGAATCTTCATTGTTCCCCTTCTCTTAATTAGATTTTTGGCACTAATGTAAGTTATTCATCTAATTTGTAATAATAATTGTGTGCTAATTAACGAGGAATCTCTCTCTTCATGTAAGATCTTAAACCCTAACCTTCAAATGAATGTTGGAATGTGCCTCTCTTAGTGCTTTGATATATATTTGACTTTGGCAAAAATGACCTTTCACTTTGTTAAAGAAGGTGGTGTGGTTGGTAGGTCAAACCGTCCGTTCACTTTTTTCTTTTCTTTTTCATACAAATTTTTGCAATTTAATACAAGTAAAAGAGAGATCTTAGGTTCCATCCTCATCAGAAACGAATTTAAATCATATTATTCTTAGTCTATTATGAAGTTTAGCTCACCTCCTACTATTTTAGTATGGATAATTGAATTTAAACCATATTATTGTTAGTCTATTGTGATATTTAGCTCACTTTCTACTCGTACGGATGATATCGTTTATTTTAAAAAAAAATACAGGTAGGGGATTAAAGAAGAAAACTGTTGGAAATCGTGTGGCGATTTTCAATGTAAATCACCTGTGTGGGTTGCCCACAAAATTGACTAATGATTCGACTCGCACTTTGATTAATTTTGATAGGTAAGTCTAAACTTATCCGAAATAATTTATTATTGAGGTACACGATTAAAGTAGTACCTTCACATCAATATGACAACGAAAGAGGAATTTTACTCTATGAGTAAAATCTTTTTAATTGAAGGAGTGGACCTAAAGACAAATCCATGGTAGATCTAAAATAATAGATAAATGCTAAAGAAATTCTTTAAAAAGTATGAGTCTTGATAGATTATTTGTTACCTTACAGTTTAACATCAATTTTCATTCCAACATTATAAAACGTTGTACCAAAATCATGAGATAGTAAAAAATACACAAAAAAATTTACTTTTAAGAGAGTTTCTTAACAACTCCCAATATAGTATCGTGATAGTATCGGGACAAATACACCTAAGTATAAATTTTAACAAATTTTCAATAAAATATCCATTTCGCTGAAGAGATTAAGCGGACCACAAAAAGGGCAAAAATGTCTCCTGCTCTGTTCCTTGCCTATGACTGTTTACCTTTCTAGTTGGTTTAAAAAATAAATACATTTTTCTCTTTCACATTTTTGTTTAATCAACTTTCTTGTTTTCATTTGATTTATAATTTTTTATTTTTTGAACAAAAGATATTATTTACACTAAATAGAATGAGGGGAGCTTAGCCTCACAAGGAGTTAGTTATAATATGGTTCAAATTCATCTTTGGTAAGAATCAAATTCGCCTTTGATTTATTTAATTTAATAACCCTAAATGAAATTTTTTAAAATGTGGATGAAAATCATATCCCATTAATTTTGGTCATTGTTGGGCCTTTAGATATTTTTGAACTCTTGTTAAAAGTGGGCTTTGTATAGTTGGGCAATTAATCTGCTCAATTACCACTAATAAACTTAAGTCGTGTTTGAATCCCCTATCTTCCAATATCACTTGAAATTTTGTAGGAGAAAATAGAATGTCATTGCGTAATTTCAAGTAGTTCAAAGAATGCTTGTTGGGGCAGATGGCATTTTACAATAGTGGTAGAAAACAATCATATCTATGCATTCTGGTGTAAGTTCTATCTCTACCGATCGCCCTTTTCCTCAACACTAACAATTAAGCACAATAAATCTCCTACCTTGAATCAAAAAGTTTCAAGAAAAATATCAAATTGATTTCGACATAAGGTAGAGAGTGAAAATTCTCCCATGCGTATGCGGGTTGTGCGCATGACCCGGATGTAATGCACGAGAGTAAGGGGTGGTTTGGGAGTGAGGTGCTTAAAAAAAAACACCCATGAAAAAAAGCTGTGAGGGTTTTAGGTGTTTGGTAAACTGAAAAAAAAAAGGGCTTATTTTGGAAGCTGCTGTGAGAATAAGCTGAAATCAAAGGAAAAAGCTGAAGCTGCTATTTGCAGCTTTGGAAAACTGGCTTTTTTTCAAAGCACATGGAGCTACATTGCTCCTTTAATGAAAAGACCCACTATCAGACTGCTTTTTTTTCCAAAAGCACTTTTACAAAAAAGTTTACTAAACACTCTGCTGATTTATTTTACAGCCGCTTATTCTCACAGCACAGCCGCTTATTCTCACAGCAGCTTTTTTTCAAAGCACAGCAATACCAAACCAGCCCTAACTCGGGTGACCATTCAAGTAGGAAGTTTTATCTCAAAAGAGCTGTATGCTGCTATTGGGGCTGCATCTTTGAGCTCTTGGATATAAAGTTGATCAGTCCCGTCGACGCATTTAGGTGCGAGCGACGTGGGACGATTATATTTGATCCACATTTCCTAACAAGGACGAAGCAAACAGAAGTAGGGCATTCATGATTTCAGGTCATGTTTTGCCATCTTCTTATTAACTTTTATCTTCTCATACTCTTGTTGGTTGTTAGTTGTTACCACCTTCCCCTCCTCTTTTGTTATCATGTTAATAATTTCTGTGCGCGTTCATCGATTGGTTTACTACATTTTTGCATGATATCTTTGGGCTGATGCAACCACCAGAATCACACCACAATTATTTGAGTGGCATGCCTTGTATGTGCCAACTGCTATGCTAACAGATCAATCATGACCTTCTACGTGAAGTTAGGATGCTAGTATTCATTTGGTTTCTTTCTTTCTGTACGGTTTTCTAGTTGAAATTATGGGTTTGGTATGAGGATAATTATGCATTGGGGCCTAGTTCTTGCGTAAAGAAATTTGCATTAAACCTTATCAAACAAGAAACTGTCACATCGGTTAATTTCATTCTCGAGAGTTTTCTTTTATTACAAGCAATATTACTACTATAAACTACACTAAGAGAAGGAGAAAATGTCTTTAGCTCATGAATCAGTGAGTTGAAAATAAAGATACTTCCCACCATAACAATAACACGTGCGATTGGTTATCCAAGGTTAATATAATAAATTTAGTTTACGTATTATTTTAATTTTTTTGTCATTCCCTTAGAACCTTATCACCTTAACCGCAAATTATTAGCAAGGTAAATATCATTGCATTTCCTAGTGGATAGGTGGGAACTTGCTTAACAAGTCGGAAATGCAATGACAAATCCTGATTTCATATTGAAAATTGATCAAACTAACGTGATTTTAGATTTTAAAAAGAAACCAAAGTAAAAGGATAGATGCACAATTGAATAAAGGGTGGTGCTATTCACACATCTATTTTTACCTCTCTCACACCCCGCTCGATTTTCGGCTATCAGATCGAATGAAATGAAAAATATCATAGACAAAAATGAACAGAAGTATGTGAGAAGCAAAAAAAAATATGTGAATAACACTATTCATGAATAAATTGCAAAAGTCCAGAGCAAGGTTTGGAGGAATGAGCATAGCCCAATATTCATAGGCCCTACCCAATGAACAATAACAAACGAAGATTACTTTACGAGATATTACAAAAAAGCCCCAAACTACAACACCAAATCAAAGTCCAAATTATCAATACAAACCCAAAACTCAAATTGCAAACCCAGAAGCATTGTTCGTCAGCTGCCAAAAAATTAAAAAACCCTAACACAATAAACCCAAAAACAAAAGTGAATTTAAACAGACAACCCAAGATTAAACTCCCCTAAAATGTCACTTGTCCTTGTCTTCCATGTTCCATAGATTCTAGCGTTTGAAGCCAAAACCTAGCAGAACGACCAACTTCCTCAAATGAAACGGTACAGCACAAAACTTTTAAATTTGGGCCTCTTAGGGTTCAGCCCAATTACAAGAACCGGTACTAATTACGGCTTTGATTGAGTTTATAAGGCGTTCAAAACCAGAAACTCGGATTCTCATCATACAGTGTCCGTCCAACAGCAGACAAAAACTTTCCAGCTAATGGAGGCAGATTGTCTGCCCTCCTGTTACCGTACCCTTCTCATTCCCTCCTATTTGTGCGGTCACAGATAAATCATATCAACATTTTATATTAATTTGTTAATAGAGATAATAAAACAAAAAGCAATAGAAATATAAAATGTTGACGTGGCTTAACCGTGACCACACAAATAGGAGGGGATGGGGAGGGGATGGGAAGGGCACGGTAACAGGAGGGCAGATAATCTGCCTCCCCAACTAATAACAAAAAACTGTCAGATGATGTCATCATCAGCAGTCAGACATTGAGCTTGCAGACCCACTGGTATGGGGACAAGACTGAAATGATAAAGTGTTGATCAGGCGTCCGCCACGCGATGCTTTGCGTGCGGCGTGTCTAGTTGCCGAACAGTGGCCCAGTCAATGATGATCTCGATATAAACCGTTGGATGAAGGATAAGGAACTGGATCCCTCCTGAGTTTAGAGGGCTGAGCCTTTTGAGCAAATCATACGGGCCGTTGAAATTTGATCTAATGGCTGCAATTATTATAACTTTTAGAGGGGCTCCCTGTTTGTAGTCGTTGGATCAAATTTCAACGATCGGATCATTTGCTCATGAGGGTCAGCCTCCTAAGCTCATGAGGGGATCCAGTTCCGAAAGATAAGGTGACAGTGTCAGTAAAAAAGCGATATAGCAGATGGTACAACCCCACGATCACAGATCCTCTCCGGATCTATGCAACCGGAGCTTGGGAATCAATGGATTCGGGTCATTGAAATTTGATCCAACGGTTACAAATAGGGGCCTCTTTAAAAGTTATAATAATTATAACCGTTTGATCAAATTTCAATAGCCCGGATCTATTGATCCCTGGGCTCCAATTGCACAGATCGGAAGAGGATCTGTGTTCCAACCCCACTCACATGCGGAAAGATAAGTTATTTCATTTCGGCATGCATGTCTTCAAATCTCATATGCTAGTTCGTCTCTAATCTCAACTTTAGAGCATCCCCTATGTGGGCTTTATCCTCCATGAGATTACCACATTTCTAGCCTTAGCAAGAAATTTCATCCCAATAAGCCAGAAAATGGGGCTAGATCTACCACTGGGGCTAGCAACTTCATTTTTTGGGTAGCATAAAATCGGGCTACATCTAACCCCAAAAAAGCGGGTCCCACAAAAAAAGTAGAAACCCATGTGAGCAAAATTCTATCACTCTCCCTCCACTTGCGAACACACTTATACTCTCATTTTATTATTTTTTAATTATTTTTCCTTACTT